TCACTCACTCACTCACTCACTCACTCACTCACTCACTCACTCACTCACTCACTCACTCACTCACTCACTCACTCACTCACTCACTCACTCACTCACTCACTCACTCACTCACTCACTCACTCACTCACTCACTCACTCACTCACTCACTCACTCACTCACTCACTCACTCACTCACTCACTCACTCACTCACTCACTCACTCACTCACTCACTCACTCACTCACTCACTCACTCACTCACTCACTCACTCACTCACTCACTCACTCACTCACTCACTCACTCACTCACTCACTCACTCACTCACTCACTCACTCACTCACTCACTCACTCACTCACTCACTCACTCACTCACTCACTCACTCACTCACTCACTCACTCACTCACTCACTCACTCACTCACTCACTCACTCACTCACTCACTCACTCACTCACTCACTCACTCACTCACTCACTCACTCACTCACTCACTCACTCACTCACTCACTCACTCACACACTCATACTCACACAGACACACTCTCTCACACACACACACAGAATTTGGTACAATTATATGTTACAGACTAACATAACAAAATAAAAAGGCATCTGCAGTTTCCCTCGTTGACATTTCTGATCAACCTCAATAGAAAAATGACTAAATAACCATCTTCATCTGTAGAAACGTCTCTATTCGCAGTCTATAAAACGCCCCAGACACAGTCCGTCTGAAACAGGGGCCTTTTTCTCAGTCCAGATACGCTTTGGCATCTTTGTTTTTTCATCTTGCACAAAGTGTTACACAACATCTTAATGGGAGAAGTGCTTCACGTCCAGCAGGATTGTGGGATACGGGTGTAGTTATGTGTGCTGTGTTTGGCTGTTCTGTTCGTTGAGGAGCGAGGTCGTCTCGTCTGTGTTTTCTGGAGATGGATGCAGAGCGGATGTTGTGCTGTTGTCTGGAGACTGCGGGGAACTGTCCAGCCGAGACGCCATCAGACCGTGCTGATACTGAGAGCGTGTGATCTGCAGAAACACAGGTGAAACATCAGCCATGTCAGAGACTCCACAGTTTTGGATGGATGAAGGAATAAACCTAATCTGTGTCTCTGCAGCACAAAAGCAGTGTTAAGTCGCTGGGGGATATTTGTAGCAATAGCCAACAATACATTGTATGGGTCACAATTATAGATTTTTCTTTTATGCCAAAAATCATTAGGATATTAAGTAAAGATCATGTTCCATGAAGATATTTTGTATATTTCCTACCGTAAATATATCAAAACTTAATGTTTGATTAGTAATATGCATTGCTAAGAACTTCATTTGAACAACTTTAAAGATGATTTTCTCAGTATTTAGATTTTTTTGCACCCTCAGATTCCAGATTTTCAAATATTGTCCTCTCCTAACAAACCACACATCAATGGAGAGCTTATTTATTCAGCTTTCAGATTAGTTATAAATCTAAATGGACCCTTATGACTGGTTTTGTGCTCCAGGGTCACATTTGTGATGTGTTGAAATGATTGCAAGTTTTCTTTCAGACAAAAAACGTGTAATTAAGTCATTACATTTATTTAAAACCCCACAGTAATGATACATCATTGGTTTTTAATAATATAATTATGCTTCTAGCCCAATAAATTGTTGAAATATAATATTTAAATGGTGTCTGTTTTAGGACATATTTATTCAAGCATTCATTAATAATCTGCACATCATACACTCATTTTAAACTAACACCACTAGACATCTTAAAATTCTCACTTTACTGTTACTTGCACTGCAGCTTTTAATACTTTTTATTGTCAATCGTTTCTTCTAACTTGCATACAGGTTCTGTTTCTCTGTCATTACTTTCTTTTTTTGCTATTATTTATTTTATGTTATAATTTATCATTTTTATTGTCCTTGTAAGTTATGTTTTTATGTCATTCTCCAGAGGAGTAAACAAAGTAAGAATTTCTCTGTACTAGTAAATATGACAATAAAAGCTCTTGAATCTAATGAAGACAACAGGTTAATAAAAATATTATGAATATTTATTATAACAAAATGCACCATTTCAGATTTATTTTTCTAGATGGTTATCAAGCTATGGGGATTGACTGGCTTTTCTGAGGTAAATGTAACATTATGTGACGCATTGTTGCAAGCTGTTCTGCGGTTGAAACTCTTATCGTACCGCTCTACTGTTCCTCTCAACATATGATGTTTAGTCATGTTTACATGTAGAAATAGTTCAGCCAATAATGAAAAGCTGCTGAAAATGTGCTCAACCTCAGTGCATCCGAGATCAGGATGAGTTTGTTTCTTCATCAGGTGTTCAAAGAAAGGCAATAAAAATATTATTTTGTGATACCAGCTAAATCTATATATTGAATGTGTTAAATAATATCCAGAAAAAAATTTATTTTGTGTTTAGTGTGGGACTTTGAATTTTAAACAAGCTCTAAATAAGCCTGTAGAACATGCAACAGCATCACATTTTGACTTTGAACATAAAGCAGTCATATTAATCAAATCATAAAATAAATGTATAGCATTTCACCAGTATTAAAGCTTGAAAGTGAAAAATAAGACAAATAATAAAATAAAATAAAATAAAATAAAATAAAATAAAATAAAATTTATACATTAATACAATTTAATTAAATTTAATTAGATTAAATTAAAATAATATAAAATAATGCAGCCAACATGCAGTGGCAGGTAAGGTCATTCAAAAATAAAAAAAAATCTGTTTGTAGAAAAAATCTATTTTTCTATTTCCCTAAATGATGAAAGTGATTTTACAGCCAGAGGCTTACTGCTGAGGTCTGTAGAATTGTTTAAAGTTAATAAGAGACACAGAGATGTGGTAAATGAAGTCAGTCCACAATATCACACTGAATCATGTCCTTCTATCAACATTGCTCATTTCCAGTTAATAATCAGAAAAACATACTCTCATACAATGACACAGAGCGTTCTCATCTGCTGACAGCTTTTCTTTTGCAAAACTGCTGAAATGACTGGGATGTATCTTTTCCTGCTGGCATCAACAGTTCATTGTTCTTCCATGTTTCCATGCTCCCTGCGTATTTATCTGTACTCGTTTCATAAATCACAGATTTGAGCCTGGTTTGTATCAATATCACATTCCTCTCTTTGTTGAGCTCTTTTCATCATCTCCCAACCAGGCCCAACTCAACAAACCATACATCAATGGAAAGATGATTTATTCAGCTTTCAGATTTTGTATAAATCTCAATTTTAAAAAATCGACCTTTATGACTGGTTTTGTGCTCCAGGGACACACATATGAACACACAGCAGTGTATATGCATGTTGTAGAGTGTTTGTGATCATGATGTGTGTGTTTGTCTCACCTAGTGTTGCAGCGCTGAGAGCCATGACTCCATAGAAAGAGAACGGATCCGTCTCAAACTTCATAATCTCGCTCCCAGCCTCCACCTCCACACGGCCCTGTGATGAGAAGAAGCAGAAATAAAAGAGAACATCTTGTGTTACATTATACACTACTATTCAAAAGTTTGGCGTCAGAAATTTTTTTTTTTTTTAAAGAAATTAATACTTTTATTCAGCAAGGATGTGTTAAATTGATAAAAAGTGATGGTAAAGACATATACTGTATTGTTAGAAAAAAAGATTTCGATTTTGAATAGAACACTGTTCTTTTTTACTTTATTTATCAAAGAATTCTGAAAAAAAGAATCACAAAAAAAGTTTCAAAAAAAAAAGCAGCATGTGACTTTCAATCAGCGGCTGCCTATGTTGACCCGGGGTAATAATTATATAATTAGATTAAATCAAAGGGATATGTGACCTATTAAAGGCTAATCAGAGATGAATGAATAAAAAGCAGGGAGGACGTGCTCATTGTGACAATTCTGTTATTAACGTGTGACTCTACAGGCTAATCACTTCAGCATTCATTATTCCCTTGGAGCTCATTACTCTGCCACGAGTTACATCTAAACACGTCAGAACATGTCATGTATTCAAGAACATGGCAGTGGATTTATTGTCTAATTTAGTATTTATTGTCATTCGTCTGATATAATAGACACATTGCAGAACATATATGGTTTTCACAGGCTTTATATGCACAGAAGTCTCAACAATCATGAGTCACCTTGATGACATGGTTGTTTAAATGCCCGGTGACACAGTCAAGGGTGTTTTGCATGAATGGCAGAGGACCCAGGACCGAGCCCTGGGGGACACCTGTGTCCGATATGAGACGGTATGAGCTTTGATGGTGGAATCTAATAACTGTTGACCAATTAGTCGACAAGTCAAAGATACAAAGCATATGTGTCTTGAAAAGGAGTGGTTTCATTCAACTAGAAAACACAGCAAGACTAATAGTTTGGGGGTTAATCTGATCAACATACTTTAACTTTACACTTAATATAACTGGAACTCAGCAATGACCAGTGATTTTGTACACTGTATGTTTAATGTTTTTAGGTTAAAAAGTGAGAAATAACTTTATGTTATCCATTGTCTCCGATGCATGTAGTCAAAAACCAACATTGTTAAAAATAAAAGTTCTTTATTGGCATCAATGGTTCCGTGAAGAAAATCCATGGAAACTTTCCATTGCACAAAAGGTTCTTTAGATTATTAAAATATTCTCCACGATAAGAAAACATGGTTCTTCAGTGAAGAGCTGTTCACTGGAAGGTTGTTTGGGAACCCAAATAGTTATTTTATGTCACTGCTGTGAAAACCCCAGTTTCATAAACTTTATTTTTTAAGAGTGAAATTTCAGAAAGCTCTACAATGAATAGTCCTGTGTTAATTCACCTGTCTGATGTTATGCCACATCACGGGCCGTTAATAGCGCACATCCCTGTTACTGGACAATGTAGTGACCAGTTCATTGACCTAATCAGGTAACATGATTATCATTTAAATGGCTAAGTCTCCTTGATTGTAGCTAACAGGTAATAACGTGATAAAATCACGCAGCAAACAGGTATAAAAAGAGTCTCCTCACAGTGTACAAATGAACATCGCTGCTTAAAAGCTGAATCGCTTCACTAGCTCTCAATTTCAGCCTCGGTAAAGTAAGTTCAGCATCTTTATTAAGAGTACTGTAATGTTTAGAGTCTGTTGTGTTATTTTTGTGTCTCTGGCACAGATATGTCTGGTGGTTTGCTCTCAGTGGTCGGTCTGCTGTGTCTGCTGTCCGTTTGCTCGGCCTGTTACATCTCTAACTGCCCCATCGGAGGAAAACGAGCCGTACAGGATTGGCCATCTCGACAGGTGCGTTTATACACTTCCTGACCTTAAACTGAACAACTGAGCTTTCATTTCCTTGTTCTCTGCAGTGCATGACATGTGGTCCTGGCGATCGTGGTCGGTGTTTTGGTCCCAGTATCTGCTGTGGTGAAGGTATCGGCTGCTTGGTTGGCTCTCCAGAAACACTCCGCTGTCTGGAGGAAGATTTTCTTCCTTCTCCGTGTGAAGCACCTGGAAAAGCTTGTGGTTATGAGGGACGCTGCGCTGCTCCCGGGGTCTGCTGTGACTCAGGTCAGCTTTACCCATTTCATATCTTAAAAAAAAGTAATTTTACTTGATGACTGTACTAAAGTATTATTTTGGGGGATTTGTATTTTACTCAAGTGCAATTTAGACTTGATTACTATATGTGACCCTGTACCACAAAGCCAGTCGTAAGGATCAGTTTTTTTAAATTGAGCTGTATGAATCATCTGAAAGCTGAATAAATTAGCTTTCCATTGATGTATGGTTTGTTAGGATAGCACAACATTAAAAAATCTGGAATCTGAGGGTGCAAAAAAATCTAAATATTGAGAAAATCATCTTTAAAGTTGTCCAAATGAAGTTCTTAGCAATGCATATTACTAATCAAACATTAAGTTTTGATATATTTACGGTAGGAAATGTACTAAATATCTTCATGGAACATAATCTTTACTTAATATCCTAATGATTTTTGGCATAAAAGAAAAATCTTAAGACTGGTTCTGTGGTCCAGGGTCACATATTAGACTTTCCTAGAGGGGAAAAAAACTACTACCTCTTATAATTTTAGTTTAACTTTTTTTAACAAATGTTTGCAGATTGTTTTCTTCCATCTTACGTACATCAAATATGGTAAATTAAAGTTCAAACATACATCAAATTTGATTATCATAGAAATTTCCAAGATGAAAGTGCATGCTTGACATACAGAAACAAACATGGGTTCTCACACATCAAGCATGCACTTTCATCTTGGAAATTTCTATGATAATCAAATTTGAAGAAGCATATTGAGCTTTGCAGTTTAATGGACTTTGCATCGAGAAGATTATTACATTTTTTATTTTTTTTATGCTGTTACATTTACATTTTTAATGCTTAAATACAATTTAAAGATGTACTTTTTCTCTTTCACTCAAGTTTTCACTCAGTATCTGCTTTCATTTAAGTATAATTTTTGAGCTGAAATTTTGATTTGTAATCATGGCTATTATCATGCAAAGAAATCACAAAATGATTGTGATGGGACACTAAAAAGTATTCTAGGTGATAAAAGAGGAAAGCTTTAGTAAAAACCGGGTGGTGGACATAAATGACAATATGAATAAAGAAAACAAGAGATTTGACTAATTCGTGGGAAATTATTCAGTGATTTACCTGGTAAGATTACAAATAAATCTAGAGAAAATGAATAGGATTTCCACCTAACTGTAATCGATGGTTTGTACATAACTCAGAGGGCTGCAGTATGGATCAGTCGTGTGTGGATGGAGACGCTGACGGTCCAGCCCCAGCTCCACCTGCCAGCAGCCAAGATCTTCTGCTAAAGCTGCTACACCTGTCAAACCACGCCCACCCCTACAGACTCCACCAATGAAACGCTCACAGAAGAGTGACATCATCTCAGGTGGAGCCGCCCACCAACCACAATGACCCATCACCTACTTTTGTAAACCAAGTTTGTATAGCCGCTAGATATTTGTATGGCTAATACCTAGAAGCGGATATTAGTAGTGCTGTATTGATGATAGCTTGACTGCAGCTATTAAACTCTGAGAGAAATCCTCTGTTTAAGTGCGTTTCATCACATTTAGTCTCATCTGCTTCATTGCTCTGTGCAACGGAGCTTTCCATTACAGACTACTTGAGACCTTTACTCATGTATTTTCTGCATTTGGACGAACTCGCTTGATGCCCATCATTGCATTGTGCCCACAATGCTTCAAACTCAAGAGATTTTGAATGCACACACACACACACTACACATAGCATTATCAAAAGCAAACTTTTGCATGAAATGGCACACACTTCATTCATATTACCAGATTTTTGCCTAACCAACTACACACTTTTGGGCATAATGAAAAGCACCCCCATCTTTAGTATGCTTTTGCCATAATACTAAAATATGTATCAGATTGTTCACATGCACAGAAATATTTGCAGATACACACACACACTGTTGCAACATTTATTTATTTGTTTTCACTACAGTAAACAAGTCAGTGCAACATATGCACAGCAGATATATTTACATGGGACTGAACAAAAATATTCTTATAAAAAAAATAAAAAAAACAGTAAAGAAAAATATATTACAGTAAAACAAAGAGGCAAGAATGTTTTGAAATGGCAAACATGTGACTTTATGTCAGATTGTTGTGTCTTATGCAGAGAACTGTGTTCAGTGCATTTAAAAAGTGCCATTTTGAAATGCAAAATGTGTGTAAAGCAGAAAATGTGTTTAGACTTTTGGAGACTTGAGAAGAAGTTTTGCTCTCTGTGTGTCAGTTTAAATAATTGTGCTGTGCATGTCATTTTAGTGTGTTAGCAATTGGAAAAAACTGTAGTAATATGCATTGCTAAGTACTTCATTTGAACAACTTTAAAGATGATTTTCTCAATATTTAGATTTTTTTGCACCCTCAGATTCCAGATTTTCAAATATTGTCCGATCCTAACAAACCATACATCAATGCAAAGCTTATTTACTCAGCTTTCAGATGAAAAAAATAAAATGGACCCTTATGACTGGTTTTGTGCTCCAGCGTCACATTTGTTCTGGTTTTCCACAACACAAGAACACATCAGACAGAAGTTACAGATCAGTAATGATCTCAATCACTCAATCAAACACTCGCTGATGAACAGAGAGAGCGAGCAGTTGTTTTAAACACGAACTCTATAAATCACAGAAGTCCAGATGTGCTCCAGAGGCGCATGTGTCCTCCAGCAGGCCCTGCATGAGTTTACTGATGGACTGGTCACAGGTGAGCATCTGACCCTGAGCATGCATGACACTGACGGAGTTTCTCAGAGCTGCTCCTCGCCTGCAGCTGCATGTCTGTGTCCAGAGGCCCAGCTATAGAGCTGAGACATTAGATAACCCTGCCACTGCCAGTGACATGCGTGTGAAACCTAACTGAACAGAGCTGCCATGATGCATGTAAGATCGTAAGCAAACACTTCAAAACCAAAGCCTTTTCACAGTCACACTACATTTCACATGCCTTTTCTGGCACAGCGCATGCATTTATGCTCTGGAGAACAAAATGGCCAGAAAATATTTTTTGCCATCAAAAATACATGTTTCCCGTTTTAGTTTTAGAGTCAAATAAAAATATATGCATGATATGGGAAATCGCTTAAACTAGCTTTGTTTTATAAATGCATTAAAAATGCAAATGCGTTATTGTGTTTTTTATGTTTACAGTCAAATGATTAGCATGCACAACAAAAGCAGTCTTCGTATCAGCACAAATGTATTGAAGGTGTAATTCCACCACAGAAAAAAAGCTAGTTGCAACTTTATCTATCACAATTCTGACCTTTTTTTTTTTTTTTTTGCAACTGCAAGTTACTACGGAAGTTCTAAGCGGCCATGCATTATTTTTTGTTCTTGTTTTCTCGTTATATCGACATAACGAGAGTTGTTTTCTCGTTATAAACACCGCAAACACAGGCGGAGCGCCTTCAGGATGCAGAAGTATTCTAATGTAACTTAGAGAACAACTCTCGTTATGTCGAGATCACGAGAAAACAAGAGGGGGAAATAATGCATGGCCGCTTAGAACTTCCGTGAGTTTCTCACAATTCAGACTTCTCTTCTCAGAATTGTGAGCTTTTCCTGCAATTCAAATATATAAAGAGTTGCAATTATCTTTTTATTCTGTGGCAGAAACAACCCATGAACAAATGTAATATCTGCACATATATCATATTTCACATACATCCTAGTAACACATATATGTGACATAGTGTCATATGAAGTAAAAACGCAAATTAAACTAGAAATTGCTACAATTTCATATAACTTTGAAATATGTTATAAACTTAATTGTATCTTCATCTGGCTACACAATGTAGATATGTGATATATACAAATATAGACACACTGGCGTTCAAAAGATTGGGATCAGTTTTTAATCTTTGAAACCTGTGATTTCTGAAGAATCATGTGACACTGATGCTAAATTCAGCTTTGATGCAGGAATACATTACATTTTAAGGTATATTCAAATAGAAAACCATTATTTTAAAATTATAATAATATGAAAATGTTAACGATTACAAAGGGGGTTACATCTGAATTTATTTCTCACACACACACACACACACACACACACACACACACTCACAAACTCGCACACACTCACACACTCAGACACTCTCATACACACAAACACTCTCTCACACACACACACACACGCACGCACTCACGCGCGCACACACACTCGCACACTCAGACACACACACACCTGTTTTATTTACTATTTGGGTTTATGTATATGCTTTATTTTTTTTAAGATGAACTGATTTTCCAAGGCATTGTTAGATGCCAGTGTTAACTATGCAAATATTTGATTTCAGAAACAGTATCATAGCTATTAAACTATATCTTATGATTTTAGATCTGTATTTAACCTCAGAACGATCTCAAAGTAAAAAGAGCTGCTAAAGTCTGATTTTGTGCTGGCTGTGCTTTAAAATGATTATTATGTTTAAGAATCTGAATTCAAGTGATGAAGGTTGTTGTGCTGCTCGTGTGCTGCAGCCTCAGGCCGCTAGAGGGCTCCACTCTTTGCATAAATAAAACAATATACGATTCTTAAGTTTGTATCGTCCATGTATCAAGAAAAAAGAGTGAAATATAAATAGTAATATAATTAAATTGTGTAAATAAATAACAAAAAAATGTTAAGAAAGCTGTAAAATGTGTTAATATTTGTCAAAGAAAAATACATATGCATATAGACGTAGTAATTACAATAACATTAAAAAGGTAAATAAATGAGCAGATCACATAACAATAAACGGGGGGAGGAACTTTCATAAACTTGCATCTGTGGATATAATTAGGTAGTTAATGTCACAAAGATGTTTAATGTTGAAGTAAACTGACATTTATGAATGTAATATAAATACATTTCTATATATTCTGTGTTGTGTTTACAATGAGACAAATAAGAGAACAGGTCACACTAGTTACATCAGTGTCTAAACGGGATTTTAAAGCAAGGCACTTTGACACGTTAGCATTATTAACTCCTCAGCATTAGAGAAACACTGCATTTACACTTCAGATGAGGATTACCAGGTCATGCTGTAACCTCATCAAATCGTGGGGTATATAGCCTATTATTATGCTATTATTTTACTTTGTTGGGGACACAGAAGTTATTAGGTAAGAGCCATGCTTTTTCTATTAAAGACTTCCAAAAAAAGTTATTATTTTCCTTGACTGAGACATTTCTTATAATTTTATTATTGCGTGAATACACTGTCTTCAACCTAAAAATTCTGCTTCCTTTGAAACTGAAGCGATTTTTTTATTTGTTATTTTTTTATTGAAACTGAAGCAATTTTTTTATTTATTATTTTTTTATTGAAACTGAAGCAATCCGTCTAGCTGTTAAGACCTTGTAGATCGTAAAATAAATGTCTCTGAGTTTTTCTTGGCCTCCTGAGGGAGATTTGGTCAGTGAGGCATGGACAGCTTTATTGAGAAAATTTTGTGACCACACAGTGGCAAAGGTGTGTGTGTGTGTGTGTGTGTGTGTGTGACAGAAAGAGAGAGAGTGTGAGTGAGTGAGTGAGTGAGTGAGTGAGTGAGTGAGTGAGTAAGTGTGTGTGTGACAGAAAGAGAGTGTGAGTGTGCGTGTGTGTGTGAGTGAGTGAGTGTGTGTGTGTGTGTGTGACAGAAAGAGAGAGAGTGTGAGTGAGTGAGTGAGTGAGTGAGTGAGTGAGTGAGTGAGTGAGTGAGTGAGTGAGTGAGTGAGTGAGTGAGTGAGTGAGTGAGTGAGTGAGTGAGTGAGTGAGTGAGTGAGTGAGTGAGTGAGTGAGTGAGTGAGTGAGTGAGTGAGTGAGTGAGTGAGTGAGTGAGTGAGTGAGTGAGTGAGTGAGTGAGTGAGTGAGTGAGTGAGTGAGTGAGTGAGTGAGTGAGTGAGTGAGTGAGTGAGTGAGTGAGTGAGTGAGTGAGTGAGTGAGTGAGTGAGTGAGTGAGTGAGTGAGTGTGTGTGTGTGTGTGTGAGACAGAAAGAGAGTGTGCGTGTGTGAGTGAGTGAGTGTGTGAGTGAGTGTGTGTGTGTGTGTGTGTGTGTGTGTGTGTGTGTGTGTGTGTGTGTGAGACAGAAAGAGAGGGGGTGTGAGTGTGTGTGTGGGTGGGTGTGTGTGTGAGTGTGTGTGTGTGTGTGTGTGTGTGTGTGTGTGTGTGTGTGTGTGTGTGTGTCGTCTGATTCTGTGACTACAACAGTGCTGCAGGTGTGATGCACTACAAACAATATGAGACAGACTTTTTCTAAATGAATCATTTTAACATTCTTGAGTATTCTATAAGTGCATTATACTAACGGAAAAAAATAAGCTGGATGTTAACTACGGGTAACTT